TTAAAAGTAGTTTGTGTGACACTTTCACTTGTTTAATCCAAAATTATTAAGAAGCTATAAAATTTGCCCTAACTAATAAGTGTGAAATTTACATTATCTAAGCTATCAAAAGTGGGTTTTGTTAGCTTTATTGTGAATTTGATGCTTAATTATTTGTGTTTTTGAATTATTTAAGGAGAAAACCCGAGCTATAGATCAAGTAGAACTAAAAGCTACAATATTGAGGACCAAATGCAACACTTTAGAAATTTAAGGACTGATTTGCTCCATTTAAAAGATATGAAGCATTATATTTAATGATGGCGAGTCAATCATTAATTAAACTTTGTCGTCAACCAATTGGAATTGGAATGGAAAGTGACTCTGTTTTAATAACACTAGTAAGAAGCACGTGCCTAATTTTTATAAGAAAAGGTTGATTATGTAATAGTATAGGTATTAAAAAAAAAATATTTATGTCAGATATTAGTTACATAAAATTTTCTTATAAGTTGCTAAATGTTTCGAGGGAATATTAAATGTGGAGATGGAAAAAATCACACCCACATTATCGAAAAAATCGAGGATCACCTTCCACCACAGCCTCTAGTTATTGAAAAATTTCTTCTCACCAATCCCCGATAGAACAGTTATTGTCAATTACTTCATAAACCTCTAATTAAATTTTAAACAAAAGATCAGGGAAAAAAAATTAAAAATAAATAACTAATAAATCCAAAGAAATAGAAAAAAACTAATCAAACGTAAAAAATAAAAAATAAAAAAAAATAAAAAAAGGCTTAGCCGATCTGAACCAGCCATAAAGCCATTTTTATATTTTAACTTAATCGACAATATATTTATTATTATCACATTTTAAGTTTTTTTTTAAAAAATTTGAAATCGATCCAAATGGATATTCATATCGTGAAATATCGAATCAAACGAACTATTGTAAAAAAATAAAATTCGAAAAAATAACATTAGAATGAGATTGAGATTGAAAAGAAATATAAACGATCACGACTTTACGTTTCGCAATTAATGTAAAATTATTTTGATATTTAAAATTTATCGATCATATATTTATCATGGACGCACTTTAACATTTTCAACAAATTTTAAATAACTTAAAACAAATATTTATAACTTA